GAAAGTGAAACAAGATGCAACAAGTGGTATCAAGAAATGTTAAAATTAAAATTGGCTTCATTAAAAATGTTCTTGCCAAAACGCCACAAAAGTGAGAAACTGGAAAATGTATCTGTAGCTTTTAGTGTAGCGATTTGAACAGAAACCCAGATGTTGACCCTTGTACCGAAACTGCGAATCAAAGTCATGGCATGCTCACCTCGTTCCGACTTTCTGAGAGAGTGAGGTTGAACAAGGCTTTAAGGGCTTCCATGGCTCGCTCGTTGTTCTCTGTGGGCAGGGGCAGAGCCTGCGGGTCTGGTCGAGCCGCCTCATAGGTGCCGACCCAGCGAACGTCCAGAGTGTGCTCCAGAACCTCCGACAGCAGTCTCACAGCGTGACAGTCTTTCCTGAGTATTCCCCTCAGATCAGGGCGCAGGGCGGACAGCAGGAAGAAGAGGCGCAGGACAAACAGGCCCACCTCGTGTTGCCACGTACGGGCGAAGCGCAGGCTGGCACAGAGGCCGTGAACCAGCTGGATGTCCACACACACCTGCTGAGCCGCAGCACTGTTGTACACAACGTTGCAAAGGCACTTCAGGGCCTCCACCACCACCCTCTTCTCCTCCTCAGACTGTAAAGCATCCTGAGTGGTTTCCTGTTTATCCTCGCCTTCCTGTCCGGTACGCAGCATCGCTAACCCCGTCAGAACCAGCATGCCCTCCCTGGTGGCTACAGGCCCCAGCACACACTTGTCTCTGGACAGGATGCGGAGTGTTTCCAGACACGTCTTCTGGCAGCTGGGCCGCACCTGTCTCCCAAGAACCGTCAGCACACTCTGACAGAGTTTCTGAATTACAAGATAGACAGGGAGGAAGAATGTCACCGCTGTACAAGATTATCGAGTAATAACATGCGCCGCCGGGATCTACTCACACTCCGCAGGGCTTCTTCTTTTTGGTTAAACGTGAAGGTCTGAGTGTTCTGAAATTAAAAAAGGTTTTATTTCTCTTCACTTATATTTGAGAATGCAATGACTCTGCAATATATCATCATTGCTTCTTAATTTCCCCTTTACTGCCTGTCCAAAATGCTGCTGCCGGAGTCCAGACCAAAACCAGGAAAATGGATCAAATCCCTGTTCTGGCTGCCTGATCATACCCTGATCATGCACAAATGGCATTAATTGAAGTCTTCTTGGTCTAGGGAATAAACGTATTTCTGAGTTCAGATGTGTGTTCTCAATGTTGGCACCAAAAATAAACAAGGAGTCAGACTTTGATTTCCGTCTTTTTTCAGCTCTGGATCAAACTCCCTAAAAACCTGAACTAAGCAGAAACTGTTGGCTCCTATAAATAAAGACTGAACATTGTATTGACGACAGCAGCTTTTCCACCAAGGTTACAAAATGCTGTAAGTTTATTTCTAACCATGACTTAACTTTTTTTTTTAGCTTTTTTTTAGTTAGCTTTTTAGCATTTTCTTTGAATATGTCGTTTCAGTTTTTACTGTTGTTGTTGTTTTGATCTGTTACCTTGTTATTTATGAGCTGTATTGAACGTAAACAGTACTCCTGACAGAGATTTGCATTAGAAACATAAAGTCGCTCATCTTGTCGGCGGCAGCATATCGACTACAACTGGGTTGTTGTTGTTGTCGTCGTTGTTTTTTTGTTTCTTTTTAGCATTTTTCTGTTCATTTTGTTCGTTCCCAAACACGATGCGGTCTGAGTAAAGATTAAAAGTCATTTGACAGACCACACGTCACATCTCTGCTCAGCTAGCAACTCAACATGTAAAGCTAACTCAAAGCTAGCTCGCTAACTAGCTTTAGCTGCTTGTTTGCTTTGGTTGAATAACATCTGACCAAGCCGCTGGCTCACCTCTTCACTGTACCGACGTAAAAGCTTCTCCGTGTCCTCTTCGTTAGCACTTTCAAGCTGGGACAAGATGCCGTTAAGATCCATGATGTGGAGACTGTGTGAAACACGGACAGCTAGCTAGGTTGGGACGTTGCCAGTGCTAGCTGTCAGGCTAAGGTGGTGTCATAGAGCCGCTGAGAGCAGGGAGACTCCCCTGACTGCCTCCACCTGCAGCCTCAGTCACACTGCTGCAAGAAACTGCACGCTGCTAAACAGTCTGCTAACTGATTTAATATTAATTTATTTTTAAAAAATGTGTATTTTTTTAAAAATTATTTTTATACATATTTTAGATTTTATTGATTTCAACGTCTTTGAGCTTTCTGGTAGTTTTTAATGTAATTTTTAAGCTTTTGAGATACTAACCAGGTTCTCCTAGTTGTAGAAATAACACCTTGTTGCCATTGTTTCGTATCATATCAACTGTCAGAAAGTGAAGAGCAAAAATACTTTGCTGCCATAAGCAACGCAATGATAGAATGGTACTTGAATATCAAGAGCAAAGTGTGAGGTGAAACACACACAGGTTAATAAGACAATGGTAAATGGAAAAACTAGAGTTTTGACAATAACACGTCACGACTTTTGCAGATATGAAAAATAGTACATTTAAAAAAATACAAGTATTTAGAGATGAGTGTAACTGTTGTTGAAAAATAGGTAATTTACAATAAACAATATAAAATAAGCAGGAATGCTAAACTTTATGTGCTTTGATGGGAGCTGAGATAATGTTCCTTTAATGTAGCAGCTCTGAAGTCACACAAATGAATGAAATAGGTGAAGATCGTCTTTCATTCTAGAAACTTTTAAGAAGTGATTGTTTATGGAAGCTACATTTTAATGTGTTTCGGTTGTTTTTACTGCACTATAATTTATTACGTTTAAAAGAAATGTTCATGTTTATTCTTTATTTTTCCCTCTGGGTGGATGATGTCATCAGCTACATCCTGCACTGGGAATTTCTGGACGCACCTTGAGAATCAGGTTCCTAGATTTCCTTATTTTTATGTCACTTCCAAGACTTTGCCTTTGGTGACAACGTGGTTCTCACAGCTGCCAGACGAGAAGGCGTAAAGATCTCAGCAGAACACGGCGGATATTGCTGTTGACATTAAGGTCAGGTGATTATATTACAATGAAGGGCCAACATCTTTATTTTCTTCTTTGCAGCAAACAAGTCAGCTGCGTTCAATGTCTCGGCAGTGAGTCCTGCAGGATTTCAGAGATGTAGCACAGAGGATTCACTCTGATGTATAAAGAAACGCAGTCAGGGGTAAGAGGTTAAAGGTTGTGGGACTAAGATGCAATGACCTCAGCACAGCAGGACACTTGCTCAATTGAAATGGACTTTATTCAGCAGTTCTTGCTCAGACCCATCCCCCTTTTAAGGTTCCCACTGAGTTTATGAAGATGGAAAAAATAGATTAGCTAAAATGATTCCATTGATCCATGTCTGCTTAAGATGATGCCACTTTTTAAAAAATGTTGGTAATGTTGCTTTTACAGCTTTCTTAAGTGCTTAAAAGCTGTTTTAACAAGTATCAGACCATTTTAAACAAACAAAAAGAAGCATTAATAAAACTGGAATAAAATGAAGTTAAATCCATTTTGCATTAGTTGGACTGATAAAAGAAGTTACAGCAAAAATGTAAACAAAACGGCACACTGTGAGATTGTTCTTATGGTTTATAATCTGTAATTTTCAGAGTTCATAGGTGGTCAAGCATCTTTTTCACTGACAGAAAACAGTTTTTAGTATTTAATGATAAAGTATCAAGGAGACAAGGTTCAACATTGGAACGTAGCTTCTTCATTTCTTTAATAACAGGATTTGCAAAGTACCTAGTAACTACAAAGTCTTAAAAACGAACGAATAATGGTTGGTAAAATTGTTCAGGTCAAGAAGTGATAAGCATTTGTGATAACTGGTGAGTATTTTTCTATTGCTGCAGAGGAATCTGCCCTACTCTTCTTTGCAGAATTGTTTCACATTTAATCACACTAGAAGGTTTTCCATAATGTTTCTGGCGATGCCACAGGATCTAAATCTGATTTACAGATAAAGTTTTGGGGTGCTTTGGATGCTGCTACATAACTCTAATGAGCTTAAGGTCACAAACTTTTTCAAGATTTACTAGTTATAAAAGCGTAAATCATGGTTCCATCATGATGCTGTCCAGGATCCTGAAGCAACAAATCAGCCCCAGAAAATCACACCAGCACAACTCTGTTTAACTGATGGTGTGATATTTTTTCTGAAATCATGTTAGTTTCACATTAGGTGTAATAAGATGCACACTTTACAAAAAAAAAAAAAAAAAAAAAACACTGTTTTCTCACCAGTCCACATAATATTTTACCAAAAGTGTTGAGGATAATCAAGATGTTTCTTGGAAGGATTTTCTATGATCACTGTAACACGGATGCAGTTTCTGCCCAGTTTCTCTTTCTTACCGTTTAATCATAGACGCTGCTCTCAACTGAGAAGAGTGAAGCCAGTTTTGCTTCACATATCATTTTGGGTTATTTGTGACCTTCTTGGTTTAGTTGCCAATGGACTCTTGGAGTAATTTTGCTAAGCTGGTGACTGTCCCACATTTTCTTTACTTGTGATTTCACGTTGTCAAACAGGTTTTGTTTAAGTAATTTCTTATCTCTACAAGTCTGACAACAATGAGGCTCTAGGTGTGGCGACTGAAATAATAATAATAAAAAAAAATTAAACAATTTTCCAAAAAAAAATGCAGTCACAGTTTTTCGTGGATTTAAACAAGGGCACCATTTTGGTTTGGATTTGGCCTTTTCCCTTAACAAATGCAACTATTTACTTTGGCTACACTGGTCTGATCCTAAACTTGTTTGTATCGTTTGCAGCATTTAGGTGTGGCCGAAGCCAGAACAAAACTCTGTGAAGGCCAAATACGTTATGTTAAGTATATCGGAACAAAAAGTGGCTGTGTGTTGGGTTTTCTCAACACAAAACTCATGAAAACAGTAGAGAAAGAGAGAGAAAAAAAAAAAAAGACTCGCCGTTTTGAATTGTTGAATTATTTATGGGGGCAGAATATTTCCAACATAATTTAACTGTCACCACTGATGCTCTCCAGTGCTTTTTATTTACAGAAAAGTGACTTCATGTTACTGTACACTTTGATATTTCCCTTTTTAATAAATACCCATAGGGTAATAGGTCCTCCGTAGCTTTGAGTGCATTATAAAACACACAACCCTAAGTTAATGCATCCTTTACTAACCATACAAAACAAAGACGACATAGAAAATATAGCATTACACCATGTTACAAAGTTACAGAAAATACTTATATATATATATATATATATATATATATATATATCTTTATAGATATATAGTCACAGAAAAACAGCAGAAAAAGCTTGCGACAGGATACATTTGTTGTGTTTAAGTTAACTATCTGAGATGGAAACACGCGATGGTTGTCAGCTCATAGTCACAGACCTGGAGTCCCAGGAGGTGGTTAAGGCGGCGCAGCTCATCGCGACGAGATGCTGCAACAGTGCTGAGCAACGCCTGCAGGAAAACCCGCAGCTGCACCGGTATCCAAACACAGTGCTGAGAGCAGCAAGGGCAACTCAGGCTGAGGTGTACATTCCTTAAAACAAAGGCACAGCTTGGCAGCAGCATTGCACTCTTTATATGATTTTGCTGCAGGTTCAGACAATCAATATGATTTGTTTTCCTCCATCGAGTGTTTGATGGAGGAAATGATTAATTGGAGATCTGGTCGGGTGACGCCTCTTCAAACTTGTCAGTCCGGCCTCGATTTCTTTCACCTTCCTCTTTGTCTTTGAGAGACTGCAGCTGCCAGTTTATCAGGTAAGGAGTAATCAAGCCCTATTTGGCCCAGCCTGTGGTGGCCTCTCCGTTGATGTAGGCGAAGCCTGGAAAATGCTGCGAGTGTTCGTACTCCGAGTTTCTGCGAGGGCCGAGAGGAGAGTACATGTCCCCAGAGGTGGCATAGCGAGAGGAATGCATAGGCGGGCTGGAGTAACAGCTGTTGGCAGGAGACACATCTGGCCAGCGGGGGGCGATGGGCGCAGGGTGCAACCGAGGAGTGCTGCCCATCAGGCACGGCTCCATGCGGGGCATCTGGCTGTTGAGCTGGTACTGAGGAGGAGAAAGACAGTAAGGTTGATCAATGATTATTTTATAAGCAATTAAATAAGGTTTAGAACTGATCTTTGACATAAAACTAAATAAATGGGGAATTAAATTGGAATTTAAAGACTGAATTTTGTGCTCACTTGTGTTGTCCTGAAACGGTTAAGTGTGGAAAACATGCAAATAAACTGGAAATTGTGAAAGGGGGCAACAATGATCATCGTAATAAAATAAAACAACAAGACCAAATGTATATCTGAATCAATAACAATGGAAAAAAAAATATTCAAAATATATATAAAAAAAAACTAAATTGTTATGCGGAATACTTCTACCTGTGGTCCTTAAGTTTAGATTGATAATAAGCTTTTTTCTTACACATCAGTAAAACACCAATTGAAAACTTTAAAGGAAGCATGAAAAGCTTCCCTCCTTTCAGAGACGTCACTTCGGTGTCGCCTCATCTGTGAACCTGTTTATGTGAGCCGACCCCATCGATGGTAATTTCCTGTCGGGGGAAATTGTCTCACAAGTTGTGCCAAAAATGGTCAAAACAGAAAAATTAAGGCTCTCACAAAAAAAAAAAAATAAATAAATAAAAAATTGTCCTTTCTTTAAAAAAAAAAAGCCTTTTCTATTTGTTATTTGTGTTGCCTGTGGTGACGGCGCAACAAAGAACAATGAGTTAATCTGCCTGGCGATAAAAATACTCTGGACAGATGTGGATCCGAATGAGGTTGCAGCTCCGTGCCCGACCTCTTGCTCTGACAAAGTGGAGTCATTGTGCTTCATTTAAGCTCAGACGGGTCTAAAAAAGAAAAGTGGAAGTAGGAGCCTTTTCCCTTTTTCTGGCTAAATATAAACACGACAGTCGATTCCATTATGAAGGATCGCGGCATGGAAAAAGATGGTCAGAGCAGAGCCGACGTCTCAGCTGCCTCTTGTTCACAGGCAAAGAAGGGGGTCGTTGCACAACAATATTTTAATAAACGCCCCTTCTGCCCCGCTCTGAGGCTGCTGGCTCAAACACATGAAGAGACCATTGAGAGCTGGAAGGAGGAGTAGCAGAGCGGGGCCCCTCTTGGCCCCTGGAAGAGCCACCTTTCACTGTCTGCTTCCGCCGAGCGGAGAGGGTTTGATTCAGAAACGTTTAGAAACACTGCGAGCTCTGAAGTCCGGCCGATTTACCCCCTCCCCCCCCACCCACCACCACCATAAAAGCAGCGGAGGCTGGCGCTCCCTCGACAGGAAATTACCACCAAAAGAGCAAATTTACACCACAAGCTGCAAGAACGGCAACATCACGGACCGAAACCTCTTAAAAAAAAAAAAAATCTTTTGTTTAAAACAATAAAGATACCAAACCGATTTCGTTTATAGTTAATCAAGCTGTTGTAGATTTCAGATAAATTAACAATAAAACAGAGCAGATGGGAGATGTGTGCGTATTCACCCAGTGGACAATCCACCACCTTAGGAAAGTTTTAATATCACCTGAACCTCTGCACGTTTTATCACAAGACAACAACAAACTCCAAAGGATCTTAATGGGATTTTATGAGATAGACCAACACAAAGTAGTCCAGAATTATGAAATAAAGAACAAATGATTTTTTCCCCCCCAGGCTCAGTCAGGCAGGATGGGGAGTGTGTTGACGACGAATGTGTTGACATCGATCCAGTCAAATTTGCAGTACCGTAAGTCCGCCACACTTTGCGCTATCTGAAAAATGCCAATGGTTTCTGAAAGAGGGGGAGACCGTGCGCTTTCCAGCCAATATCGGGTTATTACGGTAATTTCACCCCCGCCGTAGCAGGGAGTGAAATTAATCAGAGGCAATCTTTTAATAGATGGTAAATTGCAAAAATAACTTTATAGATATCGAAAGTTCCAGTTTTTATGGATAAATGGGCAAATATATTTACTCACAAGGCATTTAGAACTGCATGCAATTAAAATAAGTTGGAGATTTGAAACGTGAAACTAAAAGAGTTAAACACCAGTTGTCAAGTCTTGTCACAAATTCTCTGTTGGGTTTAAGACTTTAAGTGGTTCAGCCTGAACACCAGGCTTCTCTCCTTTATTACCCTTTATTTAGCTCCATCCTTCTTCCCAGCCTCCCTGCCTGGGGTGAGGAGAAGGATCCCCACAGCATGATGCTGCCACCATCATGTTTCACAGTAAGGATTGTGTGTTCTAAACATTGTGCAATGTTAAGTTTTCTGCTGTACTTACCACTTTAACTTCAGGCAAAACAATTCAGATACAAGTCTTGTGACCAGAGCAGCTTGCAAACAAAAGCAAGACGTTCTTGTCGCCACTTTTTCATGAACCCCATCTTTGTGAAGTGGGTTCGGATGACAGCTAGTAGTTGTCCTAAACGCTTTCCATTCTCAGAGAATTATGTGAGATGCTCACAGCTTGAGATTAAGTCGTTCTGGATTTTATTTAGGGGCAACACACAAAAACAGGGCTGAATAATGCATGCCACACTTTTCAGATTTCTCTTTAGACGAAAAGCTGTAAACCAGGAATCATTTTCACAGTAATGCGCCACTTTATGTTGGTCTGTTGCTGCAGCAACATAAGATGTGAAAAAGTGTAAATTATGTGAATAGATTTGGAAAGTAAAGTAAATGTTGACCCGATCCTGCCTGTGCAGCACTGACCTGTGCAGAGGAGCGGTGGTAGGCGGAGTAGTGAAGTGGGGCGGGGATGGCCGGCTCGTGGGCCAGGCTCGGGTACTGGCTCTGGATGGAGTGGGGGTGCTGGTTGGTGTAGCTGCCATAGTTGTAGCTACCGCTGTATCTGTGACAAGACGTGCCTGATTAGCAGTGAAATCTCCTGTGGGTGCGTCTAACACCAGGGTGGTATTTACCCGTGCTCCTCCCTGTGGGCGTACACCGGCATCCTGTGTGCGGAGGACGGCGGCGGGACGGGAGCGCTGCTCCTCATGCAGGACAGCTGCTGCCCGGCCTCCGGAGCGGAGCCGCCCGCTGTGGTCACTGTGTATGTAAGGGACCAGGTATATGACTGAACAGCGCCTGGCAGACACAGAAACAAACGTTTCGGCGCGGAGTAGCTGAATAACGTGGAGGATTTCGAAAACCGCTTCGTTTTCTGTCCCGTCTCACCTGTGGAAGCGGTGACCCCTGTGTACTCTGGGGACAGGGCGGCGGTGGGGGAGCTGGCCGACGAGACGTCCACCGACTGGACGGAGCGGGCGGGAGAGTAGGACCCCGGAGACGGGGAGGTGGGGCTGGTTTCTGTCAGCGTGAATTCCTCCTCGTGCTCTGCTGGAAGAGTCAGGAGAGGACACATTCGTGGAATCGCGATTCGCTGGACGCCTCTGCGGTTTGCACACACAGAAACTCTGATTTTCCCTCATTTTTCTTTAAAAATTTGCTCAATTGCTGTCATATTGGACAGAGAGCCTTTCTGAACATCAGCTTTCAAGTCCTGCCAATTATTCTCAATTGGATTTATTGGTAGACTTTGACTGGGCCATTCTGACACGATGATGTATTTCAACCAAAACCGCTGCAGTGGCTGCATGTTTAGGGTCATCATGCTGCTGGAAGGAGAACCTCTGCTTTAGTCTTCAGTCCTTTGCAGCCTCTGACTGGTTTTCTTTCGGGACGGCACAAACTGCACAGCTGAACTGAAAAAACAAAATCATCCCAACCAATCATGCTGCCACTACCGTGCTTTAGCATAGGGGATGGTGTGTTCAGGGTGATGTAGCATGTTCATTTTTGCCACTCCTTCATGAAAGCCAGATTTATGGAAGCATTGAACACTTTAATTTTTAGAATATAAAATCTACATAATTATTCCTCCAAGCTTCATCAGTAAGTTTTGATTCTGATGAGTGGTTTAAAATAAAACCTGGTCGATACAACATCCCAAAAGCACCTGATAAATCAAATAGAAAACAAACTCAAAAAGTTTTTTTTAATCAAAATCAATTGTCTATTTTCATTAGATAAGCCATTAGACAAGCTATCTCACCAAAAACATTCAATATGGCCACTTAAGAATTTTTTTTTGTATAAATTCCTGACCTTGCAGAGCCTGGCAGTAACAGCAGCAGCTGCTCAAAAAAAAAAAAGGTGAAGTCAGATATTTACTGTATAAAAGGTTAAGGTTAAAGCTAAGGTTTTAGCTTCCTGGCTAATATCTTGAGTTGCTGCTTCAATATTTTGGCATTATTTTCTTTCCTCTTGATGTGTCTCCAGTGCACCAGTCCCTTCTGCAGGAAAACCACCCACATCTCATATGGATATACTTCTGAGGCTTCCTCCATCTTCCTGTATGTAAAACTTCAAATTTTGGCTTCATGACTCCACAGGATACATCTTCAAAAATAAAGCCGCTTATCCCTGAGTGCATTTTCAAGCTTGAATCTTACTTTTCATATTGTTTTGACTTTGTAAGGACTTCTTTTTCTTGCCGTGGCCTTTCCACTCGTTTCGCTGTGGCTAACAGTGAGGAACAGATTCTGGTATCTAGTCTAATTTCTTCAGATTTTCCACGACGTCACACAGGAAAGCAGCGTGTTTGAAATGTCGCCAAAATGCAACAAATTAGAGGTCTTCCTCTAATTTACTCAAATGATGTTAACCTAACCAATCCGAAGTCTACAAAGACATTACATCACCATCTGGGCGTTGCCAAATAATTCAACAGCAAAATCATTTTGGTGAATGTATTCCTCTAAGTTTGAAGAAAGTAATACAGAAACAGTAAGTAACATTTCTGACTCAAGCTGACTTTGTGTAGCTTTACTCTTCACAGGTGGCTCAGCGTTTGAGGCCTCACCTGTGCTCCCCTCGCCTTTCATGGCCCTCATCAGGTCGTTGGCCCTCTCCTGGAAGTGGAGCGACTCCAGCAGGTAGAGGACGTAATCGTCAAACATGAGGTGGATCAGGTGGAAGGAACCTGCAGACACAAAAACACAACATGCTGAATCTTCCTGCTAAAACCGCGAAACGTTTTTTTACAGACGGGAAAATGAATGAAATAGACGACGACTGTCTGGGCGGTGATGACTTCACATCCTGACAGGAGAAAACGAACCAGCTCAGCCTCAGAAATATGTCGGCTGACCCCAGATGTCACAGGGAGCAGATGAGGCAGCAGCATCACAGACGTGTCATTGTGCCGCCGCCGTGCGCATAATAAAAACACTTGTGGTCGTTCAGGGGAGCGGGGCGCAATCCTGAACACTCGTAAAATGGGGGTGAAAAACAGGCAAACGCATCGGGAAAGGGGAGGGGTGGCCTTTGTTAATTAGCTGTTTGTGCACAGAGACCTGCTTTATCAAAACACCACTACCAGCTGTGTCTTTCGTATTCAAAGAAAGGGCGAGGAGAAGACGGAGAAGTATTTTTTTTTTGTCCCTCTTTCACTTTTACTGCTGTGTTCCAACTTTGGCTTGTGCACGGCAGGTTGTAAAAAAAAAAAAGGCAGCCATTCTTATTTCTCCAACTTTTTTTCTGAAGACTGCAGGCCTGAGCAGGAATTCAGTTTCTGATATGAAGGTAGAAACCAGCCGATTCATCTCCTTATATTTGACCAACATCTTTCTCCTGTCTGGACAAAACGTCAACATTTTGGAACGGCACAGCCAGAATCCCAAGTTAAATCTGATGCAGGATCTGGGAGGAAGCTAAAGATGAGGGTGATGGCAAGAAGGCTTTCCAAGAGATTATCAGTAAAGATAAAAGGACAAAATACCAGAGAAAGTTAATAAGAATCATGATAAGAAGGAGTTGATTATGCCAGAAGAGATTGTTTCATTGATTATGGAGATCATGAACTTTAATTTTCAGTAAAATGTCAATAAAAACAGATTAAATGTTTTTTTCCCAAGCTTTTATTGCCTGCCTCATTTCCTCCTAGAAACAAACTTCTTAATAAATTTACAAGGTAAACAGTAAACAGTTCAGGACCTACATGTTCGGGTCCTATTTTCACTTAAAATGATAACACACCATGTTAATAAATGTACTGCTGTGGCTTTGCAAAGAACAAAATGCATAAAAATACATTATTATTAACTTATATTGCTAATAGCAGAGAGCCTGGTCAAAACGGTGAAGTTTGGTTTGATGTCGTTCCAAAGATTGGACAGCAGAGGTAAATAAAAGATGTTATAAGTAGAATCAGTGTCACCCTTTTTACTTGAAATAATTAATACCAAAATATTTCCTGAATCTCTCTAAAGTTGTAGCACAGTTGGAAAACCATAAGGAATCATTTCTGCTTTTCTATTTCAAATTAAACCAATTACGCTGAAGTAATGTGCTTTCCTTTGACATTTTTTTCTGCAGATACTGGGAAACAATGCTTCATACTTTCAACTGGGTTCCAGTGGCTTTGTAATGCTTCATAAACAGAACGGATTTTAACAGGTGGGTTTATCTGCAGAACTTTACCACAAAATCTCTAAAACTGCTCAGAATATTTGGTCTCAGACTGTGAACTTTGTTCATGTCGGCGTGAATCGCTCTGGGCTCACCAAAGCTGGGCGCGCTGTGCAGGGTCATATCCCGGATGACTCTGGTACCAAAACACGACCACATCAGCAGGAACTGTTGGGCCACCTTCTTCAGCGAGCCGGGCCTCTTCCCCGCCACCTAGAGAGAGAACATTTCCATGAGAAAAAGATGGAGGTGGGGGGGGAGGGAGCGCCAGAATTAACCCCTGGGTCCATATTGGGGCTTAACCCTCAGGAACGAAAAACATGTCAACAAGTCAACTATTTAATTTGCCCCCGGGGACACGCCTTCCTATTGAACTATTGTCTGGGCGGTGGAGGACGTTGCCGGGGCGACCAAATTTTACAAGCCCATATCTGGCACATAATGGGTGCAAATGGGGAGCTTGAAGACATCATTAACTGGGAGGATTGGGAGCTAAGTGCCTCTGAGTGAGAAAGGCATGCAGAGGTGAGCGGATTTTAGGACTTTGCTGCACAAACAGGTTTATTAAACTGAACTGATCATAATTTTTACAGGTGCACCTAGAAAAATGATTTCAGTTTGGTTTGTGTGTTTAAAATTTTATACATTTTTATTATTTATTTTGTTTTTTTATTCTTTATAGCAGCCAATCCTAAAGTAACAGATCTGTTTTTTAAAATATATTTTTTCTAATTATTATTATTTTTAAATAAAAAAATGTTATTGCTTTCATTTATCATCAGTTTTTTTTTTTCAAAATTATTTTTTAGACTCTAAAACCAGAAACCAGATGATTATATTCTTGTGAAAACTCTGGCATATTGGTCATATTTTACAAAGGTTTTTTTGTAAATTGTTTTTAAAATTTATTTAAAATTTCTGCTGTTTTGTCTGACCATTTAAAAAATATATAGTTTTGATACTCGGTTAATATTTAAAATTTTTATTTTGCTGCAGCGGTATGTGACCTTGACCAAGCAGCAGTCACTGACCATGGAATGAAAATCTCACCAACATCCATAAATAAAACGACGATTTTATTCGTTAACTTCTTGATACTGAAGGACATATTCTAAAAGGCTTCTCAAATTAAATTTTATTTATTTTAGGTTCTATTTTTAGACCTTCTGTGAGGAGCAAAAAGCTTCAAAAGTGTGAAACAGATGCTCTGTTCTTGCCTTGCAGCTATTCACATGTCTGATGCTGAATCATTCATAAATCTTCGTTTATCTTCGTCGCCGTCTCTCACCTTGACGACGCAGCGGTCCACCATGGAGTCCAGCCACTCGATGTAGGCCTCGATCGGAGACTGCTCTTCCAACAGGCGGTCAAATTCCTGATACACTGAGACAAGAGAGGAAAAAAAAAAAAAAAAAAAACTTGAACAACAGCCTCGTAACGCAGCATCGTCCACACATCAGCGACCTCTGCTCCTCTCAGGAGCTGAATGGCGGCGGCTCGGCTCGGCGGGGCGTTGGAGAGGAGGATGAACTTGTTTAACCTTCTGCTCTCCGTCCTCGGTGCTTTGACTCCGCCGGTCATGGGAACGATCGTCACTGAGTGTGTTGTTTACGCGGCGGCGAGAGATGGAGCTCTAAATGTGACACTTACAGTGCATAATAAGCTGCCTGTGCTCCTCCTGCGAGTCCTCCATGGTGTAAAGTGTCTGCTTGGTGATGCTGTTCAGGTCCACGTTCCTCCAGTCCTCCAGCATTTGGAAGGTGATGTCGGCGCTGTTTATCACAGTCCGAGACGCCTGGGGGCCGCATGAAACGACAACATGACGCCTGTGTGTCGCTTATCTGATTTGCTTCTTTGTTTTTCATATGGATTTTAATAAAAACATTCAGAAACACGACATTCACCTGACAGAGATGGTTTAATGACGTTTGCCGCTTCAAAATCTGGGAGAATCTCCTCGACACTGGAAATGAAATCATAGGAAAACGGTCAATATCGAAGACGGGGCTTGCCACATGAGAACATAGAAATCATTTGTGGTTGACTTACGTTCAAATTTGATGTTCCTCAGGTTTTCAGGAAGGTCGTGAAGTGCTATTTTAAGCCACTCATCAAGCTGTTTGGCAAATTTCCGAATAACCTGAGTCAAGCTGTGCAGAAGAGAGACAACAGAGTGGATTTGAAGGGCCGCAGCTAATGAGATTTTATCCTGAGGTTTCATCTGGAGGGCATCTCGTAAAAACAATCCAAAGCTTAAGTTGGAGTAACATTCTCAAGAGGAAATGCTTTCAAAACATTAATCAAAACAACTCATTAAATCGTTTGCAAGGTAACCTAAAGCCACAGATGCACTCTATATTTAGCAGTAAGTGAAGACTACTGTGGGGTATAATAAGACATTCTTAATAAGAAAAATGTCTATAAATAGTGACAGTAAAGGTTTAACTCGTCAATTGGCAGCGTTTGCATAAACAGCTCCAACTAGAGAGACATAGAGAAATCAGTTCTTAACAGGAATTGGATGATTTTCAGCTCTTTAATCCCCATTTATTATTTATGAATTAAAAAACAAATGTTGTTTAAAACATGCTGTATTTGCATTTGGTAACTAAAACAAAGGTTGAGAGGCTAAACACCATCAGAAACTGTCCATTAAACACACCACAGTTAGGTGGTGCTTAAAGAGACAGAAGGTCAAATTAATTACCGCAAAGTTGATATTTTTTTTATTCTTATATTTCCACCTTTGTTGTTTGCAGAATATTCTGGATTTGGAGATGTTTGTAACATTTTGCAGGTCTTCAAGTTCAGGTAACATTCTCAATCGAACCATGTTAGTCTGTGATATAAGTTGCTAAAAATAACAACTCTGAACATGAAACAACAACGACGACGACACACAGCAGGAAGATTAGGAAAAAATATCTTGAATTCAGTCTGTCGTCTAGATAGAACCATCTTTTTGTAAACTACAGATCAAAAATTGGCTCCAAGAATGATCAACACATCTCTAAACTGACCCCACGCTCTCAAAGCTGAGGAGGTCGAAACATTTCTACAGCTGAACATAACGTTTTCCACACCAGACAAACATTTTTCTTACTGTCTGACATTAAATCAGACGAATCTTTTTCTGTTTTAGGTGACTTAAGATTACCAAAATGTTTCCTAGATGCCAGAATGCTGAAAGGTCATTCAGGAAATGACCCCAAAATCAACGTACAGAAGGGAGATTATAGTTTTCTAATATACACAGCAACAACTTCACTAAATAGGTGAGGAAAAAATATTGAAGCAATATCTTCAAAATGAACAATGACTCTAAGCAAATGAGTTGACATGAAGACAATGAAGTCATTGTTGGGAGTGGGCATTATAAGGTCTGATCTCAGTCTTTTAGAAAATGTGTGTGGAGCGCTTCTGAGGTGTGTGTGAGCGAGACATCAGGAGGAATGGGCCAAACCTCCAGCAAACTGCCGTGAGAAGCTTGTGGGAAGCAGTTCAACCACATACAGAGAAAACGGAGGCCAACTTCTGACTTTGAAGACAAACAGAAATCATTTTCCTAACGCAGCCAAACATGAGCCGCCGAGACTGATTTAGTCTCAGACGGTGAGAAATGAAGGGCTTGTGTCTGCGTGTGAGCATCCAGCTGTAATCCCATCAGACTGAAGGCGGAAACAGATGCTCACCTGTCAGGTAGTGCTTGCAGGACGGTGGGCATCAGCACCCCGGAGATGGCTTTGTAGAGGATGGAGTCACAAACGCCGACGATGTTGACCACGGTGGGGGAGCCGAGGACGGGCAGCATGTGGGGCGGCATGCCCTGCCAGAAGTGCAGCAGGAAACTTTGGACCTGCAGGCGCCAAGCAGGCGACGTTACAAGAAGAGGTTTATGCTCATGTTTCATGAAGAGGGTGGAGTTCAAAACCTTACCTCGTCAAAATTGGCTCTGATAACCGTGTCCAGTATCCTCTGACAGTGCGTTCTGTACATCATGATGAACGTCGACACCTGAAAGCAACGACAGAGTATTAATCTGTTCGCAGCAGAAAGTTTTACAGCCTTTTTTCCCCTTCCCCCCCTTTTGAGGTGAAACTAAAAAAAAAAAAAAAAAAGCGTTGCAAAAACAAGAAAATAAATCTGCCTGTGAACCAATAAATACATGTTACAGGTCCAGGCTGGAGCAGAGCGATATAAAACGAGCTTTAGAGATCAGCAAAACACAAACCATTTAAAATCATGGCCCCCCTTTTAAGAGCCGGACAGCTAGTGCCCGTCTTTTGTCCACTGCTAGATCTTATTATCTGCCCCCCGAAGATTAAGAGTTAGTGAGGAGCCAGCACATAAATCCTTAAGGTCCCTCTCTCAACGCAAAGCCAGATAAAAGAGTCAAAGAGGGGGAGCAGAGATGGTGAGATGGGAGGGAGGGGAGCTGTAAGTAAGGACTTAAAAACCGTCGTTTACCCTCTCCTCTGGCAGGCTGGCAGGCAAATTTAGGTCTTTGACATTTGGAAACTCTGGCAGGAGCGTCCCCAGCTTGGAGCGCGGTGAATACGCCACTGTCTGCTTCGTGACCTCTTTCTTCCCCGTCTCGTTCACCCACGCCGCCCCCTTTTTGGAGTACATCACATCGTAGTACGGTGACGTCTCCTTCACCGCGATCCCGTAGTAGTGGTACCTGAGGAGGACAGGATGTCTTCTAAAATCATGATAATCTACCCCTATGAACAGCTGCTGAGTGAATTTGCTACATCTTAAATGAAAAGCTTTCCGTTTTAAGTTCAGCGTGTCCATGTCTGCTTGTCGTTTGCGATGCGAACAGAAGGTCAAAAGTCCAAACTCACTTGGACTGTCCTCTTGTCCCCAGTCGTCTGGTTGTCAGTGCTGGGAACTGCTGCCTTATAATCTATTTACAGAAAGGAGATCAGAGCCGTCAGTGCAAACATGTTCAGTCATGAACGTTTATATATCAGGATAACTGAAGGTGCCCCATTTTGTATTTTATTCACTACTTCAACTAGATGGAGCCCTAAAAAGAGTGAGTTCAGGTGAAACATCTAAATAAATCAATTTTCTTTCCTCCATTTATATAAATAACCTTGATATACGTCAGCATGGGATAGCTCTGGATCCAGCTGTGGCTCACCTCCGTGCAAAACGTGCAAATATTCAAATACTTGCAAAGTAGCAATAGATCCTTATTCATTTGGACATATTTTTTCAAAGTTTAAAGTACTTAATGCCAAAAAAGCACCTAAATAATGTTTGTTTTTACATGTTGCAAGCCATTACTTCTTAATGTCAGACGTTAGGTGGCACTTCATCACATAACCAAGTACCTTCATTGGAAGAAAGAATCTGTTCAACACTCGTTTATTCTCAGTTTGTTCCAGATCAGGAAACAGTTTTCAATATTAGACAAAGTTAGCACAACTACACACAAAAAGCAGTTTTTAGCTTTTCAAACCAACCTCACTATTTTCATAAGTAAATGCCTCTTTTGTGAAATCATTCATTGGCCAGATGAGCCCAATTTTTCCACATCCAGGCCTAGAATTAAGAAATGACCCAACAGAACCTGTTTGACAGCAGGAAGTAGGATAAAAGTAAAAAAACAAAAAACTAACATATGGCATTTAAAAAGGACGGGGAAGTCATTTCTAAGGTATTGAGACTCTATTGATTAACAAATTGATGGGGAATCTTCCTACGACTGCTTCAATGACCCAAACAGGAGACGATAAAAAACCCAGAGCAGCATCTAAAGAACCGAATTCTTCACTTTCCTCAGTTACAGTCAGTGTTAAAGTCTCAACAATAAGAAATAATCTAAACTGGTGTTAAAGGGAGAGTTCAAATGAGAAAAGAACACAAAGGCTTTTCTCACATTTCTGGAAATGCGACTTCATGATAAATATGATTTCTCTGGCGATAAAAGTGCGACTTTCTGGACGGTTTGTGTCCCGTATCATCTTTTACAAAACTAACAACGCATCTCAGAAAAACGACATCATGTTTTAAATGCATCATACAATACACTATTAACTACTGGCTATACACTGCAAACATTTTTGTTAAATCCAATTTGGCAGACAGGCAAAAAAGCAACTCATGAATATCCAGTCCCTCCTTCTACTGTAGACGACTCAAGTGATGTGACATCAAAAAACGCTTAAACACTAAAACTACTGGTGTATTTTCCAAATAACAACTTTGTATTTGGAGAAAATTACAACTGATCACCTAGAGAAAAAAATCCTAGAATGCCTTAAGAAAATAAAAAAAACACTTTAGAAATAAATCCTGACCTAAAGGATCATAGTTTGTGCATGAAAGGGTGAAGTTGCTGTCATTTCTTTTATAGCATTGTTGATTTAATTAGGCTAGTGACTTTCCAAGTCTGCATTTCTGCATGAAACTCCCCTGCTGCTGAAGCGACTGCGTTTCAGCAAGACATTAAATACAAGTAAAATAAATTCTGTCACTTCTATGACGTCCAGTCATTTGACTCGTTCCTTTCTTCATCAGCCTCTCCGATCCTCGCTCCTTGTCCTTTTCATCTCCCCTCCTTCCTTCTTTCCTCTCCCTCTCTCTCTCTCTCTCTCTTTTTTTTGTCTGCAGAGATTGGCTCCTCGGTCCGGCTCCCGGTGCAGAAACTTTAGCAAACAGTGTAGCTCTCCATTGTGTGGGATGAAAAAAGGGGCCAAGCTGTGAAGTTTCTGTCAGGCCCCGCTTGATAAATGAGCAGACAGGGAGGCAGCCCGGGCCCTCTCTCGTTTTTTTGTCCCGAATCAATGAAGCCTTCCTAAAGGACACCCCACACTGCTCCAGCCACTGATCTAACATTCCGCAACATCTCACCCTTCCAAATTTCCTTTAATTATACATTAATCCAGGCCCCTTCTCTTTTTCAATATCTTCCGACAGGAGCTGGCGGAGGGGGGGGGGGGGGGGGGGGGGCCGGAGCCCGGGGTACAGGGGACGGCTGTGGGGCAGGAAGGCTGAGGAACTTGTTGGGGTTGTGGGAACAGACGAAAGCACATCTCCTTTGGCTCTAGATTAAATGTTCACACTGAGCTGCGGTCGACGTCGCTTCAGGAGCTGCAGCCCAACACCGAACCGTGCAGGAAAAACTGCACTCAAGAAAGAGTAGCGCTACTTCAGCACATTTAGACTAAAAAGGCAACTCAAGTGCAGAGTAACTAATCAAAACATCAGTCATTAAATATTTAAAAATTACATCATCAGATGGACCGAAATGTGAAGTTATGTGGAAATGATTGTGATTTTTTTAATGACCGAATGAAAACAATTAATTTAAATAACATAACTGCAAAATAACAAAATCAGGCAAAAGTAAAAAAAAAAATTCTTTCAATATCGTGAAACTTTAACAAGTGATTTTTTTTGTTTGTTTGTTTAAAACAAGCTGGCTCTTCAGTCAGTGAAGTTACTCACAGAGGGAGAGCATCCAGAAATCTTACTTTAGAGTAGTAATACTTCATGATAAAACTACTGGGGTAAAAAGTAGAACTTAGTAAAAAATACTCCAACCAAAATGTTCAGTAAATGTAACTGAACAAATGTAACTCTGGACCGTGACTGAGATTACAGCCTTTATTTGACCTCACACACAATCTGTGAAGTCACTTTAGGAGATTCGATTAAAATACCTGAGGACCATGAATTTAGCGCAGCATGATGGGAAGCACTGGGAATGATGGTGAAATCCAGAGCTCACCTTTCCAAAGCTCGCCGCGTTCACGGGCTGCGTGTCGTGCTTCTCGCTGAAGTCAAGGTAGTGCATGTAGAGCGCACTTCTGGGGATGCACACACCTTCTGCTATTTCGTAGTTTTCCTCTAACCTGTGGCACAACACATATGAGGGGGCTGCAACCTCTGAACGAGCTTTAAGCAACAATGTCAGGCAAAATACGCGCTGGAGATTTTTTTACTGAAATCTGTGAGATTCGACACTGGAAAATTATGTGGGGAGAAAATGTCAATAAGAGTAACCTAATAGTGGAGGATTTGGTTTAAAAGTATTTTTATCGGCTTGCAGCTGCTTCATCATGACAGCAGTTTTACTCATTCAGACCAAACAGTGAAAGTTTTCAATCACATACAGCAAACAGCGAAAGTTGCTCAGTCAGCATGTTGTGGTACCGTTCACCAATTAACGTTTCATTATGTAAACAATGAGGAGCCCTGACGCTATAAAGTAAAATAATGGATTTGAAGCAGCAGCTGCATGTTTTTGTTAACTTTTGTCAACATTCAGAAGAATCTTCGCTATTATTATTATTTTCAGAGTTTTGGCTGCATTAAGCCGTTCAGAACCACAGTAAATTGTTTGGATGTACATTATTTTATAGCTCATCAAAAACTTTGTGCAAAGCAAATTAAAACACCCTTTCAAAATAAAATGCTTCTTATGATTATATAGGATGGCTAGTTAAAATTCCACCTGCTTGATTTTAGGACAGTTGTGGATGTAACTGTAATTTGTGGTTTATTTTTGTTGCTATGACTACAATCACTGCCATTAAGCATAATTCTCCTTCTCTCCTCATTATTCTTGTTCTGATTTAAGCCAAATTAATCTAAATCAGGTGTGCAGTGAGAATCCATCTAAATATATTTGATATGCAGAGCAGCAATTGGTGTCAAAGGAAATAAACAGTGCCTACCAAACATTAGTTCCCAGCACTGGGTTGCAGTTTTGATATTTCAAATGTTGATGAAAGTTTGTAACTTGTTAAATTGTACAGAGATACTGTGCAAAGCTTCGATTATCTGCTTAAATGCAAAGCAAGTTTTTTCCCCTCCTCCTAAATTGTCGTAGCTCTCTTGATTACAAAAAGAAGAAAAGAAAAATGTATCTAATACTGAACCCTGAGGAACACCATGTGCACAGCCGTCTACGAATTTAATAGTAAAAATAAAAAATAAAATAAGCAGAGACTTTTCTTGACATGAACAGTTTCTATATTTTTGTAGGTGGAGGATGTATTTGTTAAAATTAATATTTTATGACTAAAAACTTTACATTTCTATTAACATTGCACAATGTCTGCTATTTTGCTTGCTAACATTTCTGTGATCATCTTAACGGATCATGTTGAGTCATTGTGAAAAGAAAGTAGAAGCGTTTTCGTCAAGTTTTATTTAAATGCTTAAAACTGAATCCATGTGATCTGTAGTGTGTTGTTTTATACAGGAAGTTTAAGATTTTAGTCATTTCTGAACCAGATCACTAATTTGCTAAAAGTAAAACCCATCACTGCCATGACTGTGAAAGTACAGGATCCCTGCAGTATTTTTATGTGAACATTTTATAAACTTGTTAAATGTTAAAGACTTTTATTCATCGCTTAATTTCCACTTAGTGTTAACACAAATTCTGGACAGACCCACTGTGATTAATCTGTTTTATTCACACAACAAAAATGAACTAAACTGAAAGCTAAATAAAAGTCAACAGGAAATGATTTAGTCTAAAACTGAAAAGTGACAGATGGTAACCAGCTGGTTCCCTTGAAATGCATCTACAGTTTTTATTTACAGTATGCTCGGTGCTTTCATTTGTTTTGTACTTTTTGCTTTTGTTGGCTAGAAAAATAGATGAGTTTCACAAAAGAATAACTTTCTTTTGTGTTTGATGTCTTTAATCAGGACATCAACCCATAAAATAATTGTTTCTTTTTTTTCCTGACCATTGTAGAAGTTGATACAAACCCACAGCAGATTTAGCTTTACGTTTATTTTTATTCAACCAAGTAGGAATTAAGATGGGCACTTTTTACAAGATAATAAAATATATTATTATTATTATTATTATTATTATTGTTTAACATTTTTTTACATATTGCTTTTGACACTTAAAGAACTTTTTGTGTTAACCTTTATATTTGTTGCTGCTGATAATAAAGGCTGTTTCTATTTGTACTTTTATTTCTAAGTCAATATAAGGCGAATATCAATTTTGCTTTATATTAAGATTGTATGAGAATTGCATGTTGAGAATTATTCCTAGCTTTATAATAAATGCAAGAATTACTGGAATTACAGAAATCAGACCTCTTTTATCTTTTTTGAAATTGCTGATCAGTTTTTTAAATGTTTTCACTGGTTTGTTGATAATTTATCTTTGAAGCTGGAAGTGTTGGAGGGCCTCCTTGACATCACCCTAATTTTAACTCCCTTCACAGATTTCCTACAAGATTCATATCAAATAATAAGATTCATATTATTTGAAATAATATTTTGGTAAAACAAAATATAATTTCAAACCGGCCTGGGGTTCGAATAAATTAGCGCTTCTGGCTGTCACCAGTTTCCAGTGAACGAAAAAAAGGAGTGGTGACAGAAAAGCAGAGGTTCCCAATCACTTTCTGACTCTTACTGTCTAAATAAATCTAAATAAAAGGGAACTATGGCTGTTAGAGCAATTTCTGCTTAGAAATGAGTAAGTTCGATATTAGGAATAAAGTCTGTAAACACAAACACTTTCATCTACTTTTTCCCCCCCCAATACTTATCCAGCAGCTGACAAAACTAATTTCATATGTTTTCATATTTACAGGACATTGGAAAAAGCCTGCATAAATTAAAACTAGTTCACAGCTACGTACTTTATACTAATTGGTCAAAAAGACGAGCAACGACAACAGTAGTGGCACAACTTTTGGTACATTTTTTTTTTTTTTTTACCAAAGGAAAACCAACAAACATGCAGAAAACCCAACTTCTCAAAAATAAGAAACTGTCATGTAAAGATAAAACTGAAGAGCTACAAGAAGAAAAAATACATTCAAACTCAGCAAGACAGGAAGATAAAATCAGGACTTGTTTTTGTTTAAACATAAAAGTTTAAGATCTGATGGAAAATGAGAAAACAACGTAATAATCTGAGTGAGTTTTTAATGTACAGCAACTAAAATTCACACACATCTGATTTAAGACTGATATGAAGGGAATCTGACAGGTTGAAAAAATATGAGGGTTAAACATTTTTTATTCTTTAAGAATAAAAAAGGTCAAATCTTTATATTCCACACAGACATCCTGTGCTTGCATATTAATTGTTCCTCCCTATTATTTTTATTGTATTATGATTTTTACATGCTCTTCTTCCTTTGTTATTATTATTATTATTATTATTATTTTGTTTTAACTCACCATTCCAGAGTAGCTGGTGTCGAATGTGGTTTAGTCGCTCTGTTATTCTCCTTTTCCTCATCTGCAGCATTCAACAAGCATCAGAGTAAATCATGTTATTACAGGGGCAGAAAACACCCTGATTCTGTGCAGGTAATATGACCAAACAGCAGCAGGTGAAGGAGTCTGAAACAAACAAACAAACAAACAAACAAACGTCTGGAGGTTCGCTGCTTACGTTCGTCGTTGGACATGTTCCCCAGAGACGTGTGGCTGGAGTATCGCTTGCTCTCGCTCTCATTGAGGCACCTTTCGATCCAGCTCTCTATGAAGATTTAAAAAACAAACAAACAATATATATTCTCTAAAAGTTCTTTTATTTCTTTAAGGCAAGATGTAGGTAAGCTAACGGGCTAGTTTGTTTTATTTCTCTAGACCTTCTCGGCACTGAAGGAGCATCGTCCTGCAGCATAACAGAGCAAAAGCTGTATTTACATAAACACGGTGCAGGACACTTAAAAACGTCACTAATGTGACAAGGCCGAGGCCACAACAAGCGATTGTGTGGGGCGGCAGCGCAGCCGTGGGTCCCGTTTGAGATGTTTTCAGCAAGACGGCAGGAATCCAGCATTGTTCTCCAGAGACGACGAGATGAACACACAGAAGCTTAAAAAAAAAAAGAAAGAAAGAAAGAAAAAGAGCCTGGGCGCATTTTCTGAAGCGGTCTGCTGGAATAGAGGCCATTGTGCTCATTTGATTTCTGCTTAGAAAAAGCCCGACTGGTGTGCTTTCTGAGAGCGAGCAGCAGCAAAAACAACAATGCTTTCATGTGGGAGCTGCATGATAAAGTGAAAATCCTTTTTAAAAAACACGGGAAAAAGTGAGTCAGCGGTCAGGAAGGAAGGAAAAGGAGATTGGTTGATAATCATCTCTTTCATTTTTATCAGAGTATTTTTTTATGCGTTATTAACTTTTTTTTATAGTGTAGCTGCCTTTAGAGAGGATCCAGGTCACAGCAGATAATAAAAGTTTTTAGAAAATAGCATTAAAATTTACTGAAGGTGCTTTTCAAAAGGACACGTCAAAAAGTTTTTTTTAACGCTACTGCATACAACTTGTACCGAGTATGTCTGAAATAGTTTGAGCTACATCAAGTTTCAATTATTGTCATTGTTCCCATTTATTTTGCTTTTCTTTAATCGAAGCCTCGCAGTTTGCCCAAACTGCCAGTTTGTGCTTCTTTTCACATTGAAAAGACAGAAAAGAAGCAGCTTGGAGATGCATAAGTGAATCCACTGAAGTGAAGCTAATTCTCCACAGAGACTCGGAGCTCAGGCTTCATTTGCCACAAGAACAGATAAGTTGGGGGGATCCAAATAATTGGATTAAATCCGATCAACAACCGAGATGGACGTTGGCCCGTTTATCAGCAGGAACAAGCGACACTTTCCTGCGAAAGCTGCCAAACCTCTACAAATGAAAAAAAGAAAGGAGAGTATCTACGTTTTATCCTTTGTATTTTGAACTACTAATTGTTTTAAAAATAGCCATTTTTCATAGTTTTTTTTTGTTTGTTTTATACTCAAAACTTTGGGAGCAGGTGCGCCTCTCTGACCGCCTTTTCTGAACAGATCCTGATGGAAAAAAAAAAAAAAAATCTGATTCCTATTTACCCATAAATGAGACCAAAATGCTCCAGAGCCGGTCCAGAGAAAGTTTGAGACACTACCAAAAAAAACAAAAAAAAAAAACAAAAAACAGGCGCAGCTAAGAAGCAGGAGTTTGGGTCCAGTTTACCAGGACTGACCTGTGGAATCCATGTCCGGCTCCTCCAGCAGCCCGCAGTGCATCCTCTTCCCATCAACGACGCCGGGTCCTCCGAGTAAAATGGCTCAGTGCACGCTCGCTGTCCCCCTCCTCCGATGGTCTCCTCTCGGCTCGTCCTGAGGCTCCCTGACCACTGCCCGTCACGGGAGATGTTGAGGCTCTGGGGTTCGCCCGGAGAAGGGCGGTGTTGGTGGAGGAGGGAGGGAAAGACAGAGAGAGAGAGAGAGAGAGAG